ATTTATTTATTTATTTTAAAACAACCCTTGTACTTCCTAGGGTTAAGGTAGAATCATGACAGGTTGGTGGGAATAAAAAGAAGGCTTTTGGTTCTCTATTGACAACAGAGAACAGCCCTTTCCAATGAGCCTTAATCAATCAGGTGTGAGGTGGGGGTGGGCATTAGAGGAAAAAGTGGAAGAAGAGAGTGGTTTATTGCTGTTCACAATGAAAGCAATAAAATGGTTTGCACTGAGCTGCATAAGGGTCATAATCAGTATGATAAGCTATCATTTAACATGAGGAGGAAATTGAAGTTTCATTTCCTTGCTTTTTGTGGCACCCCTTGAATTGGGTTGATGACACCATTCAGTCAGCCAGCATGAGGCCTGCCTTACTAATTTTGTTTTGCAAAACAAAGCCAGTCACGGTCAAACTCAGTTGGTCAACTCCATAGATTAACATGAGAGGCCCCTAGAAAGCAAGGCAGCTGGGATAGCTCTGGTTGGGAAATGATGGGTTAATCCCAGGCCAGCTTGGCAGGGAGCTTCATAAGAGTACCCTCCCTCTCTCATCAGTATCCTGGGGTTGACTCTAATCTCCACAGTTTGAAGGACAGGCCTGGATTGAGGATATGGATGCATTTCCCCATTGTGTCATAAAATTCTATTCAACTTGATTGTTTTCAAACCTGGCCAGTATTTGTAGGAGCATACATTGTGGGGGGTGGGGGGATGGACAAACAAAAGCAAAAACCAAAATGACAGTAACACAAAATTTCTTCCAAATCTTGTCCTACTAATTAGGAATACCTACACAAGCAACACAATTTAAGAAAACACTGGGGGAAAAAAAAACTCTTTAAAAGCTGGGCTTGGTGATGCACAACTATAATTCTACCAACTTGGGAGGCTGAGGCAGGAGGAGTTTACATGTTGAAGGACAGACTGGACAATTTAGTAAGACTTTGTCTCAAAATAAAAAATGAAGGGCTAGGATTGTGGCTCAGCGGTAGAGTGCTCGCCTAGCACTGGCGGGACCCAGGTTCGATCCTCAGCACCACATAAAAATAAACGTATTGTGTTGTGTCCATCTACATCTAAAAAATTAATAAATAAATAAAAGGCACTCCATCGAGGCAGGCCCTAAAGGCACCCCATCCTGCTTTAAAAAAWAATGAAAAGGGCTGAGGATATCTCAGTAGTAGAGTACTTGCCTAGCATGTGTGAGAGCCTGGGTTCAATCCCCAATAACACACACACACAAAAAAAAGAAGAGCTGGGCGCTGTGGGTGGCACATACCTGTAATCACAGCAACTCGGGAGGCTAAGGCAGGAGGATCACAAATTCAAAAAGCCAGCCTCATCAACTTAGTGAGGCCCTAAGCAACTCAGTGAGACCCTGTCTCAAAAAAAGAAAAAAGAAAAGGGCTGGATACCAGGCTCAGTGAGTAAGCACCCCTGAGTTCAAACCCCAGTACCAAAAGAAAAGAGAGCAAGAAAGACAAAACAAACAAACAAACAAAAAAACTGTGATCATCAGCTATGAAAACCAGTAGGATAAACTGAATAAAAACCCCAGGTTCAGGGGCCGGGGTTGTGGCTCAGTGGTYGAGCACTTGCCTAGCATGTATGAGGCACTGGGTTCAATTCTTAGCACCACATAGAAATAAAAATAAAGGTCCATTGACAACAACAACAAAAACCCCAGGTTCTACTCTACTATTATACATAGTAAGTAAATAAATTCATTACATGAGTGAACTTGGTTTATATTCAACATTAGTTAGCTTGGTGAGAAAAACAAGAAGTATCTTATGTCTGTGATAAAGCACCATGAAGTAGTATAAAGACTTTTGAACCAAATATAATTGAATTTTGTAGGGAGGAAAAATATCTTTCCCTCACCCAAATTATGTGTTCATAGGTGAGGCCCCTATAAGAAAAGAGAGTTCAAAATTCTGATTCCACTAATTCCTAGATAAGGCCTCTAGATCAAATCACTCAAACTCTGAGTTATTGTGAGAATTACATAATATAAATGAAAGTGCTTAACAGAGTGGTTGGCATATAATAGGTAGTAACAGCTAGTAATCCTTCCTTTAATGATGGGAATGTAATTCATATATTAAAACATTARATAAAAATACTAGAGGTAAATAATTTTAAAAAGACAAAAGGAAGTTGGGTGCTGTGGCGAACATCTTTAATCCCAGTAGTTTGGGAGGCTCAGRCAAGAGGATCACAAGTTTAGTCAGTCTCAGCAATTTAGTGAGGCCCTAAGCAACTTAGGGAGACCCTGTCCCAAAAGAAAAAATACAAAGGGCTAGAGATGTGGCTCAGTGGTTGTGACCCTGGGTTTAATCCCTAGTATAAAAGAAAAAAGAAAAGAAGAAAGAAAATTATTAGAGGTAAAATATTAAAAAACTAGTGTTGATTGCTTACTCTGTGCTAGCAAGCACTGTTAACTACTTTAATATATTATTATGTTCAACCCTCTCAACAACCCAATACATAGATGAGRAAACTGAGACACTGAGATTAAGCAATTTTTCACACTATCACACAGCTAGGAAGTCATAGGTTTATGATAAAAACTATTTTGCTGCCACCAAAGGCCAAATGCTAATCCATCTCTTAATGTACCATCCAGTACATTATATCAAGGGAGTATATTATTAACTGCCAGACAAGTTAGAATTTAAGGATGAGTAGTTCACAAGCAAGAGACAAGCATGTATTAGGGAGAAAAATTATAGCAAATTATCTCTTAGGCTAAGAATTGTATTAGCAGAAAAGAGTAGGAGGGCCTTCCCATGTTTTTGGTGTGGGGGCGTGGGAACAAAAGAAAATAGCTTTTGCACAAGTAGACAGGAATGAGCAAGGTGARCAAATAGATCATTCTAGCTAGAGCAGAGTTCATAAAGGCAGGTTCTGGAGAAATGCACTTAGAAAGATAAACACTGGGGCGGGGGTTGTGGCTCAAGCGGTAGTGCGTTCACCTGGCATGTGCAGGGCACTGGATTCTATCCTCAGCACCACATAAAATAAAATACAGATGTTGTGTCCACCAAAAACTGAAAAATAAATATTAAAAAATTCTCTCTTTCTCTCTCTTTAAAAAAATTCATCTTATATATTTCACTATATAATCAATAAGTAATTATATATATGTACATATACATATGTACATATGTATTGTGTATACACACACATATACACACTTTATTTTTAAAATATTTATTATTTATTTATTTATGATCAATATTGGGGATTGAACTCAGGGGCACTCTGTTACTGAAGTACATCTTACCCCTTTTTATTGGCTAAGTTTTCCAGGCTGACCTCTGGAGTCTCCTGCATCACTGGGATTAAAGGTGACATGCTTCATAACTTCTTTTTTTTTCTTTCTTTAGTGCTGGGGATCAAATCCAGAGCCACGTGCATGCTAGGCAAACACTCTACCACCAAGTCATATCCCCAGCTCATGCTTCATAATAGCAAAATGGGTATACCAGCTATGTGGAAATCAGGTATATTCCAAACCCACTAATAAGGTGAAGAAAATGATCAAATGATAGCAGGAAAAAAGATGAGGAGATTAAAAAAAAAGAACAAAGCTAAAGAGGAAGAAAAGTATTATAAGAAAATGCAAGGGCATGGAATCCAGCAAAATAGGCTAGTTTAGATGGCTCAGGAGATCTGAGAGCCAGGTCTTAGAGCTAGGTAACTATTGAAGGGCCCCAAAGATCATGTGGGGCACATAGAACCTGTAGCAAGCTAGGCAAGAGTCAGGTTTCTTATATACAATATTGTATGCAGTAGGGACCTTCTATTTTAGTGACAGAAAGACGGATCATAATGTGATTTCACCAGTGGAATAATACCCTAATAATTTTACATTTTTACTTAATTTAGAATTTTGTTTCTCACTACAAAGATCACAGTGGTTTTACATATTATATTTTCTCAAATCATTCCAGAGACACAGGAAGAAATTAATAATAGTTTCCTTTTGTTTTAAAATTGTATCTCTAAAAGACACAAACAAGCCAAGTTAAATTAGATCAGAATTTGGGGTTTCTCTTATAAATAGCACTTTATTTTAATTGATCTTTAAAATAAAAAAAGTTTAAAAAAAATCTAAAAATTTTCATCTGGTCTGTTAGTTGTATCCATTGGATGGTTAGGAGTTTGGCATGACTAATTTCTTTACAGTTCATTTACTAAATGACACCATATAAAAGCAAGCACTACTGAAAAGGATGTGCTTGTTTCCAAATTTCAACTCATTGTAGACTGACTGCATTATATTGGTCCTTGTCTAACCATTTTATGGTGCAAGAAGGCATTAACCACATATATATGTTAAAGACKTCTTGGATTATTCTCACATTGTCAAGAGCCAGAAAGACTAGAGGAAGCCCAGAGAGGTTGTTATTCTGGCCACCCAGAAGGATCAGGATTTTATAATCCTGATTAAGATAAGATTTATTAACCATCCTACCCCAAGATGGAGATGCTTATTCTTATAAAATAACTTAACCTTTCCTATCCAACCATTAGATAATGTTTGCTGAAAACTAACCAGCTCCCAGAGTTGAGAATGCTAATTAACTAAGCTCAGTAGGGTTGCTTCAGAATGAAAACAACTGAATATTGAGATTCAAACCCTGAAAATTCAAAGAAGACCCAGAAATTGTGGTTTAGGTTGACATGTTGTTGATAGTTTTTCAGGAGTTTTCTCTATTTYATCTAATTTGTCCAATTTAAAGACATAAAGATGTTTGTAATATCCCCTCACTGTCCTTTTAATATGTGTAAGGTCTGCACTCCTTTGACAACTATTGGGCTGAATGAGTACAACTTGTATGAGAGAGAAAAGGGGATTGGGGTCTTTGAGCCTGCTCTGATAAACTATTTGAAGGCATAATTTTTCAAGAAACATTTCTCCCACTTCAGCCAAGAAATGCAGATGAGGCAAGGGGTGGGGTGGGGGAGAGAAAAAGAAATGGAATTTTTTATGGTCCTAGTGGTGGGGCTGTTGGTCCGATTAGCTGCCCATTTGTCTGCAAGCTGCTTTCTCCTCCCATTCTGTGCTCCCTGCCATCACAGTGCAGCTGCTGCCCAGGAAGCATGAGGAAGAGACTCCCTCTGGAGCTGATGGCAGTGGCACTTGGAAAGTGCTGGCAGGGGGTGRGCTATAAAAAACAATTTGGTCTGGGAACAAAAGGCATCAATCACAGCAGCGTCATCAACCTTTGGTTTGGACAGGGGAAGAGAACTTTCTTGAGTCAGAAGCAGAAAAGGAATACTTTATTTAGTCATCTCCTTCTTTTAGTGGACTAAATGGTCTAATTAAATTAATAGGAAAGTTAATGCATTAATTCTGGAGCACCACAAAGATCTCTCTCTCTCTCTCTCTCTCTCTCTCTCTCTCTCTCTCTCTCTCTCTCTCTCTCTCTTTCTCTTTTTTAGTCATATCCTTTGGTGAAGTAGGATAAAGCTATCTCATTTACAGTCTATATCTGAAGTTTCCAGAGTCACTGAATTCTACATTTAGGAGTTAACTTCTCTGTTAAAGGCCCTCATAAGCCTGGAAGTTTCTAACTTAATTAACTTTTTGGAAAGTAATTATGGATCTTAAATGAAAGGTACAAAGTTAGTAAATATTCTCAGAGAGAAGACTAACATAATTAAGAACCCAAGAAAAACAATTGAAGTTATAGAAGTAGCAAACTGAGAAGAAATGGCCATCTCTTAATCAAAAGTCAAAGCTTAATCTAAATAGTTCTTATAGTTAACTGCTTAAGAAAAGTGATAGTATTTCAGAGTTGGGAAAGTATGTCTCAAGTATCTGTGATACTTTCAAATCATGCTGGTCTATGACATCCTTAACCCAAGACAGACAAACTATTCCCTTGGGCTGTCTTCTGATGTAGGCAGTATCTCATTCTTTAAAACTTCCCTAACTAGAAAATGAGGTAGAAATGCCCAGCTAGACATGTATCATATTTCTTGGCCAAGTTTATGAAGAAGCCTGGAAAGAAGGGGCCTCTAGATGTTACCTTAGATCTAAGCTTCTAAAGAAGTAGAGAAAAATGTAAATTTCCATTTAGTTCTAAAATGCAAAAAAGCTGCATGTTTGCTTGCTTGTTTCTTTGGATCTTTTAAATTTGAATCCTGGAGAAAGAAACTAAATTAAGTAATGTATCTAGCTTAATAAGAATACCACACTATAATTCAGTGTGAGAAAAATGCATTAATGCATCCGTACTTAATGAGAACAAATGTGTGTATAGTACTTTATAAATAATAACATTTACCTGGATATCCTTCTAAATCTGGTACACATATATATTTTTTTTCCTCTCAGAGCAAATGTTCAAACATAGGGCCTCGAGCATGCTAGGCAAATACTCTACCATTAAGCCACATCCCCAACTTTTTAAATTTAATTTTTAGTTGTAGATGGATACAATACCTGTAATTAATTAATGTATTTATTTTTTATGTGATGCTGAGGATCGAACCCAGTGTCTCACACATTCGAGGTAAACGCTCTAGCACTGAACTAYGACCCCCAGCCTCTGTTCTTACTTTTTATTTTGAGAAAGAATGTCACTAAATTGTTGAGGCTGGCCAAGCATTTGCCATCTTCTTGCCTCAGCTTCTTGAGTTGCTGGGATTATGGTTGTATACCACCGTGCCTGGTATTTACCCCTAAATATTTTATTAGAGTTCATTACCTAAAAATAATAACATTCTCCTTTTAATGATTTGCAATTATTTCTTAATGTTATCTACTATTTAAATATCTAAATCTCTTTGTCCTCTAAATGTTGTTTATAGTTTTTAATTTTGTTTTTTTTGTTTTCTGGTAGTAGGTTGTGTGGCATTCCACCACTGTGTATATCCCCAGTCCATATAGAATTTTTTTAAAAATCATAATCCTGTCAAGATTTACTCATTACATTTAATCATCTTTTTAGTATCTTTTAAACTAGAACAGTTTTTCCTATCTCCCCTTTTTTTTT